TGTTACCTCAAAAAATTAAAAATTGAACTGCCATTTGACCCAGCGATCCCACTTCTAGGAATATACCCTAAAAAGCCTGAAACACCAATCAGAAAAAATATATGTACCCCATGTTCATAGCAGCACTATTTACAATAGCTAAGATCTGGAAACAGCCCAAGTGTCCATCAGTAGACGAATGGATAAAAAAGCAGTGGTACATATACACAGTGGAGTACTATGAAGCTGTAAGAAAGAAAGATCTCTTATCCTTTGAGGTGACATGGAGGGACCTGGAAAGTATTATCCTAAGCCAAACAAGCCAAACAGAGAAAGACAAGTAACATATGATCTCACTTATTTGTGGAATATAAGGAACATAACAGTCTGAGGAATGGGGCAGTCCCAGAGACGTGGAAGTGGGGTACAGAGTGACAATCCCCAGAGAAGGGAGTGGTGGGGGAGAGATAAACCACAGAACTTATATGCATGTATGCATGAACAATGGACATGGACCACAAAGCTGGGGACAGGGTGGGGAGGAAAGGGGAGAGGGTAATCAGTGGGGGGAAAAGGAGAAAAATCTGTAACAAAAATTAATTAATTTTTTTTAAAAAAGCCTTCTTAGTTGATGATTATCTGTGTTCCTTAAAATGTCGTCATAGCCCTGGCCGGTTTGGCTCATCAGTTAGAGCATCAGCCTGCAGACGAAAGGGTCTCAGATTCAATTCCTGATCAAGGGCATGTACCTGGGTTGCAGGTTTGATCCCCAGTCTCCATCGGGGTCGTGTGGGAGGCAACCAATGGATGTGTCTCTCTCACATCAATGTTTCTCTCTCTCTCTCTCTCTCTCTCTCTCCCCCCTCTTCCCTCCCTTCCATTCTATCTAAAAATCAATGGGAAAATATCCTCAGGTGAGTATTAACAACAACAAAATGTAGCCATAAATATTTTGTTAGTAACAAAAAAAAAAGCATGACAACCAAGATAAATATCAAACTGATTATAGTATTGATTATAAACAATCATCTATAACAAGACCACCAGAAGGTATGGTGTCTGGTTGCTACTGTATTCTTTGTCCCTTTGTCTTATCAATCATTAGTACCCAGGTTATACTATTTTTTAAAAAGTCAGGAATCTGAAGCGCAGAATAATCTGCACAGAATTGCTGGATTGTCTGTTCTGCATCAACCCAATCTCCGTATAAATAAATTACCCTGTAATAAATTCTGCTATATTCTATGGAGTTGCCTGCTTTGTTTGTCAGTCTTTTTATTTATTTTTTCTTTATTGATTTTAAAGATAGAGGAAGGGAGAGGGAGAGAGAGATAGAAACATCGATAAGAGAGAACATCGATTGGCCGCCTCCTGCATGCCTCCCACTGGAGATTGGGCCCCTGACCATGAATGGAACCGGAGACCTCGTGATGCACTGGTCGAAGCTCAACCACGGAGCCACACCAGCCAGACAGGCAGGTGGGTTTTTAATAATGAACTACCCAGCAGGCTGACCAGGTCCCCACTATGAAGTTTCAGATACCAGGTGAAGATCAAAACAAAGTGTGGGTGGTGTAACAGAAAGTAATAACTAGGAGCCACCTTCTCATTTCATAGCTGAAGTACAAAGAGGGAAAGTGACCTGCCATGGATACACAGCAAATTAGAGGCAGAAAGGACCAAAATTGGGCTAGACCCTTAGTCAGCCTCTTTCTTTTGCATACCAAAGAACTGTCAGATCAAATTAACATCACCTTATTTTTTTATAGTTTTTTTCAATCAATCATTCCCATCAATCAATTCACTCAACAAATGTAACTCACAGCTCTGTACAGGGAGCTGGGGTAACCAAAATGAACCAAATAAGACCTATTACAGACCCATGTGTGAAACACTCATAAATATATAGTTAGGTAAAGGGATGGGGAAATAATTATCTTAACTGCTGGCCTCAGAATTCCTCTTCGGAAAGGAATTGCCTTTTTCTTGGGAAAACACCTTGATAAGCAATTTGGGTAGGAGTGGCCAAGAGCACAAACTGTTACCGAACTGGGTCTGGGGCCAGAGTGAATCTGCCTTGAGCCTACTGGTAATGTATGGGTTCTTGACTTTGTGTAGGAAAGATTTCACAGTACAAGTCCAGGTGATCAAGGATATTTTTCCATTGATTTTCAGATAGAGTGGAAGGGAGGGAGGGAGAGACAGAGAGAGACAAACATCGATCTGAGACAGACACATCAATTAGTTTGCCTCCTGAATAACCCTGACGGGGTCGAGGATTGATCCTGCAACTGAGGTACATGCCCTTGACTGGGAATCAAACCCACGACCCTTCAATCTTCAGGCCGACACTCTAACCCCTGAGGCAAACCGGCCAGGGGACCAATCCACTTTTTTGCCTAGTTTAATTTCCTTGTTCCTATCCACTCTGCCATAAGTCTTTCATATTGTACAGCTATTCAGAGATTAGATGCCATATTAGATGCTGCTTGATACATAAATCATTGAATAAAGGCTGTAAGATCTTTAATTCTACTCAGTTGAACTTTGTTTTTTAACAGGGAGAAAGAACATCCCAAACAGAAGGAAAAGAACATGTAAAAGTGCAGTGACAGGAGGGATATGGCATGTGCCAGAGGCTGAAAGCAGGTCATTTAAGCTAGAGTGAAGAGAATAGTGGGTGAAGTGGAGTGGATGAATGTGAGAGGTATCAAGGTCAAATAAACGGGACTTGGCAATAGCAGTTAGAAATATTTTAGCTGGAAGGAGCAGACAACCTGACCAACAGTGGCTTAAACAAATAAGGGTGATGGGGGAGGGGTGTGTGTGTGTATTTCCTCAACTAAGAAGTTTCCTTAGATAATAAGAATCTCAATGTCAGGGCTGGCATAAAGCACTTTTCCTCACAGCTGAGTCCAGCTCTGTGCCTCATGATCAAGTCGAAGGCAGGAAGTATGAAAAAAGGGCAAAATTGCCCTGGCCAGTTTGGCTCAGTGGTTGAACGTCGGCCTGTGGACCAGAGAGTCCTGGGTTCGGTTCCCGCTAGGGGCACGTACCACAAAAAAAGAAAGAAAAGAAAAAGAAAACCGTTCCCAGAAACCTTCTAGTGGATTTCTGCTTAAGTCTTACTAGACAGAACTACTATGTCATCAGGCCACTCCGAGCTGACCGGGAAGCTGGAAAACCAACTGTTTAACTTTTTTAGACTCTTTAGAAGAAATGAAAAAGTGAGAAGGGGATTAGGAGTGGGTGTTGAGTTAGTAAATTCAGTGAGCTTGCAGGTTTGGGGCAGAGGTGGTGAACAAACGCGTGACTGGTGTCATTCTCTGAGTGGATAATATTGTAAGATCATGAGTTCAGTTTTGGATATACTGTTTGCGGTGTGTGGTAAACTGAACAATGGCTTTCAAAATACCTGTGTCCTGCCCTGGCCGGTTTGGCTGAGCGGTTAGAGCGTCGGCCTGTGGTCCTGAGAGACCCGGGTTCGGTTCCCACTAAACGCACGTACCTCGGTTGCAGTTTGTCCCCGGCCCTGGTCGGTCGTGTGTGAGGCAGCCACTGGATGTGTTCCTTTCACGTTGATGTTTCTCTCTATCTGTTCCTCTCTCTCCCTCCCACTCTACCTGAACAAAAAATGGAAAAATGTCCTCGGATGAGGATAAAAAATAAAAATAAAAATAAAAAATACCTGTGTCCTAATCCCTGGAACCTGTGAATATCACCCTATATGGCAAAAAAAAAATGCAAGTATAATTAAGTTATATATTTTAAGATGGAGAGATTATCTTGAATTATCCATGTGACCCCTAGATGCAATCACAAGTGTCCTCATAAGAGGGAAGCACGGGGAGATTTGAGTCCAGAAAAGTAAAAGACATGACAACAGAAGCAAGAGGTTAGAGGCCAAGGAAGACAGCTTACTTCTAAAAGTTTAAAAATAACAACAACAAAAAAAAAGAGAGAGAAGATTCTCCCCTCAGAGCCTCCAGAAGAAACCAACACTACTGATACCTTGACTTTCGCCTAGTGAGACTGATTTTTGACTTCGATCTCCAGAACTGTAAGAGAATAAATCTGTGTTGTTTTAAGACTGTGCTTTACGTTTGTGGTCATTTGTTTTAATAGCAGTAGGAAACTCATGTAAGGTGCAGTTGGACATAGGGTCCAGAGGCAAGAGAAGACTGGGCTTGAGATATAAATCTGAATGTCATATTCACGTGGGTGGCATTTGAAGTTGTGGGAGGGCATAAGCTTATATGCATCTTTCGGCCAAGTCCTTAACTTCTCGGAAACATTATTTACTGAACATTTATTCTGTCCTGGCATCATCAAGCAATTTGCATGCATCCTTATTTAATCCTCACAACCACTTTATGAGGTAGACACCACTTTTATCTCCTATTCACACACAAAAGGGAACACGAGGTTAAGCGAGACTAGTCACTTGACCAAAATCAGACAGCGCGTGGCCCAGCCAGCATGACATGATCTAGGAGTGTGTGAGGGCCCCCTCCCTGAGAACCCGAATTTTAACGAGACCCCAAGTTCCCCGCGCAGTGACTCGGACCTGCCTTCGGAGTGCGTTCCAGCACCCCGGCGGGCGCGCCCAACACCCTAGCTCAGATCCTAGGAGCACGGAGTGTTTTCACCTCTGTATCTTTGCTCACGCCATTCCCTACCTGGAGCTGGTACTCCTGCTGTAACTCTCATTACAATTCTGTCTCCTCCACTAGCATGTGAAGGTCTCTAGGTGACACAGGTCTCTATCGCACAGGGACCCCAACGCCAGGCAAAATCAAGACCCAGAGCTGACGCTCAGCAACTACTTGAATTGAAGAATAAAGGAGGAAGAGAAGGAAAAAAAATGAAGTAATAAATAAAACTTAACTTGTCGCCTCAGAGACCCGCACAAGCGTACGAATCTCTCCCCCGTACCGAGTAAGGTGCGGCGGCGAAAGGACGGTGAACGCGAGGTTTAAACGCCGGAGCGCTGGCCTCCCACTAGTCGGGCGGCTCGGCGCATGCGCGCAGCCCACGGCGCCAGCTCAGAGGACCTTCCCCGCATGCGCGAGAGCCCGGATGCGGACCAAGTTGGCGGAAAGCGCGCGGTTGGACAGCAATGGCGGTGCTCGGTGTTGCGACAAGTGGTGGTCATTGGTTTTCGGCTTTGGCGTTCGGGGTGACTCTTCTCAAATGCCTTCTCATCCCCACCTAGTAAGGGAGTCGCACGGCCAGGGGCTGGGCAAGGAGGCCCGCGGTCGGTCAGGGCGGGAGAGAGAAGTGTGGCTACACCAGGTGTGAGAAGGAAAGAGAACTTGGAAGTAGTGTTGTCGCCGCTCTGCCTTTGCTAAGCTTCCCCTTCTACCTGTTGATAGCTACCTGACCTTATGACGAGATCTTAGCCTGGATGTCTGGGTTCCGGCCAGGCGTTGTCTTACTTGAAAGTTTCTGCGCCTCAGGGTCCTCATCCTGAATATGCAGATTAAGAACATCCACCTTCGCCATTCATTCAGCTAGTGTTGATCAGCTGTCCACTGTGCTGGACTCTTCCAAGTCCTGGACATGCAGGGAGAGGAAGACTCTTCCCGTTCTCACAGGGTGGAGTTGATGGGGGCAGATAGACAAACACGAAAGTTTCAGGTTGTGACGATGGGGCAAGGCTTTACTTCACTTTTAGGAGGTGACGTTTGAATTAAAATCCGAAGAGTCAAAAGGAAGAAGCAGTGTGAAAAGCAGTTCAGACAGGAGAGGGCAAGTGCAAAGGCCCCGTGATAGGAACGAACTCGGCATTTTAGGCCCAAAAGTGGCCATTTTGGCTCAAGCGCACTCAGTGAGGAGGTGTGTGGCACAGGATGGGGTAGGCAGTGGTCAGATAACAGATTTTGACTGCAGTGTAAAAAATGGATGCAGGGGCAAGACTGGCAGAATGGAAACTAATCAGGAAGCAACCATCAAGTGGTAATGTGTATACAGTGGGTACTCAGTATTTATTAATATTAGCTTCCATCATCTGTTCAACCTTCCTAACTCCTCCCTTGACTTTAACCCTCATTTCTTTTTTTCCCTTCTTTCCTTGTAGGGTTTGGTTTTTTGGTATCCTTTGATTCAAGTTCTTGATGACTTCTTGTTAATTTGAATAGGGAAGAGTTGTTTGTGTAGAATGTACATCTATACTGATGCATATATGTAATTATATAAGCAATGAAATGTATAAGTAGGTTTAGCCAAATAACAGGGACTTGAGAAAAGAAGAGGTTGATCACTTGGACTTTCTGCATAACTGTAAGCAAATAAACATCTTTACATTTTTTTTTTTTTATTTTTTATCCTCACCCGAGGACACCTTTCCATTCTTTGTTCAGATAGAGCAGGAGGGAGAGAGAGAGAGAGAAACATCGATGTGAAAGGGACACATCGAGTGGCTGCCACCCGCACGACCAACCAGGGCCGGGGACAAACTGCAACCGAGGTACATGCCCTTAGCGGGAACCGAACCCGGGTATCTCCGGACCGCAGGCCGACGCTCTAACCGCTGAGCCAAACCGGCCAGGGCCATCTTTACATTTTAAAAGCAAATTGGAAAAATCTAAAATGTAGGAAATACCTTTAAAATCAGAGTGAAAGAGATTTTTTTAAAACTGTAGGTTTGTGCATATAAGATGATGTTTCTTTTGTTACTTCGCCCTAGAAATGTGTACTTAGGGTTATTATTTTTAATATTGCTCTTAATGATCCAAGATTAAGAACATATATCATTGTAGTTGATATTCTGCTTCTCAAACTGGAAACCTCTGGGAAGTGAGATGGAAGCTATAGGATAATGTATTCAACAAATTGTATATTAACTGCTCTATTATGTATTAGTTACTGTGGCTAGGCACTAGAGGGAGGGACGAAATGGATATGGGCCCTAACCCTATAAAGGGTTTAGTGTAGTAAGGATAACAGTTCCCAAAACAAATCAATGAAGATATGCAATTGCATAATATACTTGCGTTAAGTGTTATGAAGGAAAAAAATGGAATCCTATAACGGAACTAACAAGGGCGATTTATTGTAGACTGGGTGTCAGGAAGGGCTCCGAAGAACTGACTAATTGGAGGCCTGGAGACACACCCAGAACATATCTTTTTGGTAAACATACGTATGCATTTCTATTAGATATATGCATATATATATAGAGAGAGAGAGAGAAATGGAATTGCTAGGTCATCAGATCAGTTTTGAATTGCGATTTTGAAGAATCTGTAAGAAATCCCAGTGACATTGTCAGCAGGCAGTTTGTCAGCAGGAAGTTGGAGATGTCTGTCTCTATAATTCAGGAAAGAGACCAAGTTTGTATATTGTTATTTGGGGGTAGCATTATACAGTTGATAGTAGAAGGAATAAGTGTGAATTAGATTGTCCAGTAAGTTGCATCAAAAGAGGACCAAGAATTGAACAAGAAGAATATCAACACTTATTCATCAATAATATTCATCTGTTTGGTGAATGTTGGAGTGAAAGCAACGAAAGAGACTTAGAAGGATTTGTCTAGGAAACTCAGGAAAGGATTGTCACTGCAGAAAGGTTGTGCAAAACATTTGAAAATGTAAATCAGATTTTGCTGTAGAACTCATTGTTGACCTTGGTGACTGGTTGATTCAATAAGAATGTACTGAGCCCATCCATGTATCATTAGAAAGGGGGCCTATACTAGAAAGCTATTACCAGAAATCAGTTTTTCACCTGAGAGACTTATCTGCCTGGCAGGGCAACCTTTGTTTACCAAACATTTGTTCTTCTCACCTCCCCATGAATTGCCTTTCTCCCTTTGAAGACCCAGACTCCTAGCCCTTTACTTAGCTCAGGATGATATAAGCCTCAATCATGTGGGGCCTTTTGAGTGCCATATCTTTTCATTGCCTCAGTAATTAAACTTGACTTTCCCCCCTCCTGTTAATCTGTCTTATGTCAATTTAATTCTTAGACCAGCCACAGAACCTAGAAGGTTATAAGGGAACCACCACCCCCACCCCCCCCAGGGAAGTTACTTGACAGTATATGTAGTGAGGGGGAAAACAGTTAAGAGGGAGAATTTGGAGAAGTGGGAAAGGCACAGCAGGAGCCTTTTCCCATCTTCACTTTCCAGCTTGTTTGTGAGGACTTTTCCAGGTAATAAATTGTGTTAGAATTCTTGGTGAACAAGAGTAAGTCACCTCTGAACAACAACCAGAAAGCCTTCCTTGAGAAAATGTATGGACTTTTGCTCAGCCCTTTAGATAACTCGGAGACCCTTTTCACTTACTTGTAGTTTCCCCAATTTTTCCAAAAGGAGGTCTGACCTCCAGATAAGTGAGATGTTTCAGGACTATATAATGCTTCTTTGTGTCTTTAGGATAGTTATCTGTGACTGTATAGGGGATGTTGGTCCATTTAATTAATTTATTTTTTTAATCCTCACGCAAGGACTTTTTTTTTTCCATTTTTTGTTCAGATAGAGTGGGAGGGAGAGAGAGAGAGAGAAACATCGACATGAAAGGGACACATCGAGCCCTGGCCAGTTTGGCTCAGCGGTTAGAGCGTCGGCCTGCGGTCCGGAGAGACCCGGGTTCGGTTTTCGCTAAGGGCACGTACTTCGGTTGCAGTTTGTCCCCGGCCCTGGTTGGTCATGCGGGTGGCAGCCACTCGATGTGTCCCTTCACGTCGATGTTTCTCACTCTCTCTCCCTTCCTCTCTCTCCCTCCCACTCTATCTGTACAAAAAATGGAAAAATATCCTCGGGTGAGAAACATCGACGTGAAGGGACACATCGAGTGGCTGCCACCCGCACGACCAACCAGGGCCGGGGACAAACTGCAACCGAGGTACATGCCCTTAGCGGGAACCGAACCCGGGTCTCTTTGGATCGCAGGTCGACGCTCCAACTGCTGAGCCAAACCGGCCAGGGCGATGTTGGTCCATTTAAAAGCATAATGTTAGAAATGTGAAATTGATCACTGACAAAATTTTATTTTATTCATCTGATTGTTTCGAATAGCCATTCCACAGATTTTGAAGTACACCGAAACTGGCTTGCTATCACTCACAGTTTGCCAATGTCACAGTGGTATTATGAGGTAAGTTTCAATTTTCACCTTTTTGGTTTGTTTTTTAAGATGGTATGTGAAATCAAAGTATTATTGATATTAAAACAGTTTTCCATGTGATCATAGGTCAAATAAATCTTTATAAAAAGTGTGTTCTTTCCTAAGTTCTGTCCTCTGGCAGTATTAAGGAATCCTTTTACTTATGAGTTTACCAAACTATAAATTGTAATTATAATATTTGCCACACCCTTTTTGAAAGCATGATGGGTTTGGAAAGAGGAAAAATTGAGTTCTAAGCCTGGGTCTGCAACAATGTAGAAAGTATATTTCATTTCTCTGAGCCTTAGTTTCTTATCTGGCAAATGAGAATTTGAAATGAATTACTTCTGTGATCCTGCCTTTCCCTAATATTTTGCAATTTATGAGGAAAGGAATAACCAAATATGATGTGTAGGTATCAAACTATTCTCTTCTATTATTATTATTTATAAAAACTATATCTGTATTTTTATTTCTGGTATGAATTACTAAATGTGTATGCTATTCATTTTACAAATGGGGAAATTGAGCCTCTGAGACAGAACTTGAACCCATGCTAGTGAGTCATTGGTTGTGCTATAGCTTCCTATTTGTATTTAGATGTATAGAACTATGCCATAATTGAGTTTATTATTACAAGGTTTTAGATTAATTTCCTTTGAACTATAGTTGACTCTAAGTATATTGAAGATTATATTTAGGATACAAGTTTTGATGTTCTGCTCAGTGTTAACATAGAAATTGTTCTATTTGTGGCATATTCTAAATGCAGTTTCATTTTATGTGCTTTTTTAAAAATCAGGGAATCTTCATACCCTCTTTTTATCCAGTTACTTAAGGTATGTTCTATCTTCAATTTTTACCCCAGGCAACTTCAGAGTGGACCTTGGATTACCCCCCTTTTTTTGCATGGTTTGAGTATGCCCTGTCACATGTTGCCAAATACTTTGATCAAGAGATGCTGAATATCCATAATCTGAATTATTCCAGCTCAAAGACCTTACTTTTCCAGAGATTTTCCGTCATCTTTACAGACGCACTCTTTGTGTATGCTGTGCATGAGTAAGTCTGAGAATGTCATTTTGTGTGGAAGGTGTTGAGGAAATAATTATAGTATTATCTTATGACTCATTTGGGGGAACAAAATTCATAGACTAGCAAATTTTAGAACAGTCCAAAACTGTGTTTTTGTGTTTTAAACTGCACAATGAGTCAGTAAAGTAAGCAGTCTACCTGAATCTTGTGGAAGAAAATGGAGGAGAAAGTGGGGTTACAAGCCACAGGTAGACAAGTGATTGTGATTGTTGTGGAAGGTAGCCCCACGTAGAGTTCCAAGACCATTTCTCCTGCTGTAATGGCTCCATATGCTTTTCTTTCCTTGTGGCAGGTCCCCTGAGGCTCCTGTGACCTACCCTGTTCTTTACACATACCTACAGACAGTACACATACACTCATGCACACATATGCATTGTACTAACCACCCATGGAGTTTTCATTTTAGTAAACTCAAGAAATCTTGTGGAATGCTTTTAGTTATCAGCTGAATTCTTTCCTTCATAAAGACCCTTCAGTAATTTTGCCTGGGCTGGTTTGGAGCATCGGCCTACGGACCAGAGAGTCCTGGGTTTGGTTCCCACTAGGGTCACGTACCAAAAAAAAGACTCTTCACTAATTTTAAGTTATGATCATATTTTATTTATATATATATGTGTGTGTGTGTGTATATATATATATATGTGTGTATATATATATATTTTTTTATCCTCACCTGAGGACATTTTTCCATTTTTTGTTTAGGTAGAGTGGGAGGGAGAGAGAGAGAGAGAGAGACATCGATGTGAAAGGGACACATCGAGTGGCTGCCGCCCGCACGACCGACCAGGGCCGGGGACAAACTGCAACCGACGTACGTGCCCTTAGCGGAAATCGAACTCAGGTCTCTCTGGACCGCAGGCCGATGCTCTAACCGCTGAGCCAAACCGGCCAGGGCATATTTTATATTTTTATGTTTTGTATCTTTTACCTATAATTTTAATTTATATAGAATGTTTTGCACAATGACTTTCAAGTAGTAAGTTTTTGATTAATGTTGATTTCTCTTCTGTCATAATACTTAGGCCTGCTAGTATGACTGTGACAGAGCAGTAACTGGTATCCATTCAGTGACCCTTGTTATAAATAGATTATTTCTATGTGTGAGGCCTTCTAGACTGAACCCTCACCCCATTCAGGAAAGAGTCCCTTGGGAATGTTTTAACCCCTGCTTATTCTCATGGAGTAACTCCTGTTTGACACCCTAATTTTCAATCTGTTTATAACCTCACAGGAGTTGGAAGGAAAGGTGATTTGTAACTCAAAATGTTTGAATTCAAGCTCCTAGAGAAAGAGTGTACAGGCAGAAAGAGAGAGCAAGTAGAGTTCAAGTTCATCTGCAAGGTAGAGAGAGCAATTAATTAAGATAAAAATTGTTGAAATCTATGTGCTGGTTCTCAGAACCAGGCAGTATGTATAGATTAGTAACTTAATTTTCTCAATTACCCTGTAAGGTTACTTATCTCTGTTTATGAGGAAACTGAGGCTCCTTGGGGGAAAAGCAAGCATCTTTCCTAGTCTTTAGTTGCATCTTTATCGTGTCTACTTTTTTGTTTTAGATTTCTATATTTTTAGAATATGCCAACATTCAAATGAACCACATTCTAAAAAAATTTTAATGGAACAATGCATCCTCATTGTCAAAATTTTAGAAAACAGAAAAGCCACATTCATACACAAAGTAAAAATGACCTGTACTCCTCCACTTATAGCTATCACTGTCAACAATTTGGTGAATATTATTTCAGCCTCTTTTCTGTGTCGAGTGTAATTTTTATAAAATAAAAATGGGATCAGTTGATATTGTCATTTAGTAATATGTATATCGCTACCTTTAAATGACATACATTTTTACATAAGGGTTTTCTAAGTTATTTGGACAATCAGGAACTGCAAGTTCCTGGCTCTATTTTTAATTTCTCCCTGCCACCCCCTCCCAAACTCTCGAAGCTATTTTTCATCTGGCTAGTATGATGATATGTAATTTAGAGTGCTACATCATCCTGATCTGCATCTTTTTTTTTTAATCCTCACTCGAGAATGTGTTTTTCACAATTTTAGAGAGAGAGAAAACATTGATGTATGAGAGAAACATCAATCAGTTGCCTTCCATACATGCCCCGACTGAGGATCAAACCCACAACCTAGGCATGTGCACTGACTGGGAATCTGACCGATAACCTTTCTGTGCACAGGATAACGTTCCAGCAAACTGAGCCACACCAGCCAGGTCCTGGTCTACAGTTTTTACTCTTAAGGACTGAAAAAGTGTATGCCCTCTCAATTTTCAAAATCATTACTTTTTGGAGTTTTGGTCACTGGGTTTTTTTGTTATTGTTGTTTTGATTTTATTAAATATAAAGACTTTGTTTCAAATCAGCGTAGCTAAGAAGGAGACATGGAATGACCCCTGAAGTCTGTTTCTGCTGTCACCTTTTAAAGCCATAAAAAATGGCATGGACAGTTCTATTAGGAACTGTACCAGAGTGTATCACAGTGGATTCTAGAGGTATTGTGATGTTCTTATGAAGATCAAACTTGTTTCTTCTTTTCTGGTGTTTCAATGTAGGTGCTGTAAATGCATTGATGGGAAAAAAGCAGCTAAAGAACTTACAGAGAAGCCAAAGTTTATTCTGTCAGTATTACTGCTGTGGAACTTTGGGTTGTTAATTGTGGACCGTATCCTTGACATTTTATATACTATTCCCTTACTTATTATGTTATATATTAATTTTAAGATTAATTTCTTTTATAATGTTGATTCTGAAACATGAGCTGCTTTTGGAAATGGGTGCGGAGTGGGTTAGTGTGTTCCCAAAACTTTAGTCTCTGCCCAACTTTACCAGACTCTGGTTGTTAGAGCACTTTGTCCCTGAAAATTTAGTGGTGATATGCAAGAACCAGGTAAACCAAAAGTAGAACAATATACTAGGATTTGTTAACTGTCTTTAGATTAATCTAATACATAGTTAGTAACCAGTTTCATAACACATTATTCTAATACCTTCTGTAGAAAAGAGCTTATCGTAGTGTTTCACGTGGAAAGAGACAGGCCGTTGTGCTTTCCTGCCATTTTGGCTTACCACATGTTAACAGGCAAAGTTCTAAAATCCTAATATTAAAAGCCTAATTTTTACAGGGTTTTTTTGTTTGTTTTTCAGGTTTTTTGTTTTGTTTTGTTAATCCTCACCTGATGATATTCTTCCATTGATTTTTAGAGAGAATGGGAGTAGGAGAGAGAGAGAAACATCAATGTGAGAGAGACACATCAATTGGTTGCCTCCTGTATGACCCTGACCAGGGCCTTGGATCAAACCTGCAACTCAGGTACATACCTTTGACCAGAAATTGAACCCAAGACCTTCAGTCCTCAGGCTGATGCTCTAATTGCTGAGCCAAACCAATCAGGGCTAATTTTCACAATTTTCATAGAAGTAGCTTGGTGTAGGGGAAAACACCCAGAGTTTGGTTTACGTTTGACCTAGATTCAAATCCTAGTTATGTCATCATAGTAGCTTTAGGCCATGAGATTAATGTCTCTGAGCTCAAACTGCCTTATAGTTCATTGTGAGGCTTAATAAGTAAGATTGTATATGTATTATAAACAGTGGAGTGCTGCATTCCAGTGGCCTTCATTAGCTGTTAGGTCCCTTCCTTTCTCATCCCTAATTCTAAAAAATAAAACAAAACAAAAAACCTTTTGCCCTTTAGCTGCTGGGTCTTTAAGGTTGAAAAAAACATGGGAAAGTTTTGTGGTTTTCTTCTTAAACATAAATCTTAAGAGTTTGTTCAGGATTTGACTTTATAGAAAGCACATTTATGAGAAGCTCAAACTGGTAGTAATATTTTTGTCTTTACCTATTAGGAAAGCATTTTCAGTTTTTAACCTCAATCTACTGGCACAGTTCATTATGAATTTGGTATCCTTTGTTGTCTTTCCTTGACCTAATTTCAGATATCCATTTCCAGTACAATGGTTTTTTATTTGGATTAATGCTACTCTCCATTGCTCGATTATTTCAGGTAAACCCAAAATAGGCTAATTAGATTTTTTCCCCTTAAGTTTCTTTTTTAATAAAGGCAGCAGTATAGTGAGTGATGGGTAAATTTATTTGACCAACTGTTTTGAGTTACCAACAATTTTTATTGAGTATTTGTCACAAATTCCATCTTCTCTTTTGACAATTGTCTTCATTTTACAGATAAGAAAACTATACTCTAAAAACTTGTTAAAGATGGAAATCTTGACGTGAACTTGAGTTTTTACATTTGGTTGGGATCATTTATCTAGGAATGAAATCTTCAGCGGTTTTTACAATGTAATAACTATTATAGTGGGGCTTGACCATCACAAGCATGTGGTATACTGTAATGGAGGGGATGGGATTTGGAATCAGAAGACCTGGGTTGAAATCCTGACTAACCCTAATATGCTGTGTGACTGAGATAGGGGTTACTCATATTAGGTGCATTAAATATAATATATTACTGAACAAACCTTGCAACTATTCTATGAGGTTGTTATAATTGTTAGTCTCCTTTTTATAGAGGGAGAAATCCAAAATTCAGATTTTGGGGCCATCCTTCTGTATACTGAATCAGAATCTCTGGGATTATGGTTTAGGAATCTCCAGAGAATTTTGATAAACTGTTAGGTTTGGGAACCATTAACCCAGCACAAGTCATTTAACCCTCTCAGCCTCAGTTCTCTCATCCTTAAAGTGAAATGTACCCCTTGTTACATTTTTATTTGTAAAATTGGTGTTACCTACCTCACAATGACTTTGGAAAGATCACATTTGATCATCTGTTTTAAAGTTACTTGTCAACTATAAATGTCTGCATACTTTTTTTTTAACCATAAAAAGCCACATAGTACTTAGAACATGATTGGTGTTCAATGAATGATTATTGAGTGGTGGTTGAACAAGTAAAGTTTAGCTATAGAACCATGTAGGCCTTCTCTGAATCTTAAATAAACTGTAAAATTGGTGAAGCGAGATCTGGAAGCATCTCATTCTTTATCCTTATCATTCCCAACTCATCTATTCTAGACCACACCTGATGAGACAGTGAGAGAAAGAATCTGGCCTTTCATGGTCCTTTGACAGTTTCCTTTGCTGAACCCCAGGACATTATCTCATTTGATCCTTCCAAAATTCCTGTGAGGTAGGTAGAATTCACACTTGTTTAGTTATAGTAAACTCAGTTTGTTTGTTTAATCAGAATACCTTTAGTTCTCCTAGGTAGTTTGTTAGGATCAAGTAACTATTTTTTATTTCTTCAGCCTGATAACACTGTATGTTACCTGATCTAAAATACAAGATTTAAATTTTGTTGTTGTTAATCCTCACCCGAGGATATTTTTGCCATCGATTCTTAGAAAGTGGAAGGGAAGAAGGGAGGGGAGTAGAGAGAGAGAGAGAGAAAAACATTGATGTGCCCTGGCCGGTTTGGCTCAGCAGTTAGAGCATCGGCCTGCGGTCCCGAGAGACCCGGGTTCAGTTCCCACTAAGGGCATGTACCTCGGTTGCAGTTTGTCCCCAGCCCTGGTTGGTCGTGCGGGTGGCAGCCACTCGATGTGTCACTTTCACGTCGATGTTTCTCTCTCTCTCTCTCTCTTCCTCTCTCTCCCTCCCACTCTCCTGAACAAAAAAAAATGGAAAAAATGTCCTCGGGTGAGGATAAAAAAAAAAAGGAAAAAAAAACATTGATGTGAGAGAGACACATAGATTGGTTGCCTCCCAAACATACTTCAACCAGGGCAGAGATCGAACCTACAACCCAGGAACGTGCCCTTGACTGGGAGTCAAACCCATGACCTTTGGTCTGCAGGCCGACACTCTAACCACTAAGTCAAACAGGCCAAGGCTCATATAATTTTTGGTAGCATAGCATTATTCCTAGTTCCTCTCTAGAAATCAACTCCAGCTATTGTAAAACTTTGTAAGGGGGAAGGGTAATTTGATTCTCTGGGCTTTAGTTCCTTAGGGAGAACTTGCAGTGTATTATCAGGGATGTATCCTGTACCTCAGCATCAAGCTTAGAACTTAATAAATATTTGTTGAAATAAGGAATTTATGAACCCACTAGACCCAGTATAAAGGCTAGCTGGAATTACTTGCCTGCATTCATCTTATATTACATGTAGAATATTTGCCTAAATTAATTTTTTTTTATTTTAGAAATTTTTTTTTTTTTTTTATCCTCACCCGAGGATATTTTTCCATTTTTTGTACAGTTAGAGTGGGAGGGAGAGAGAGAGAGAAACATCGACGTGAAGGGACACATCGAGTGGCTGCCACCCACACGACCAACCAGGGCCGGGGACAAACTGCAACCGAAGTACGTGCCCTTAGCGGGAACTGAACCCGGGTCTCTCCAGACCGCAGGCCGTCGCTCTAACCGCTGAGCCAAACCAGCCAGGGCTATTTTAGAAAATTTAAATCAGATACAAAAATAGAGAAAACAGCATAGTGATGTATACACATACAAAGTATTATTTTAAAACACATCTCAGACATCATGTTTAATTTGTTAAGTATTTCAGAGTATATCTTTAAAAATTGTGTGTGTGTGTGTGTGTGTGTGTGTGTGTATAAAAATTTTTTTTATCCTCACCTGAGGACACCTTTGCATTTATCTTCAGATAGAGCAGGAGGGGGAGAGGGAGGAAGAGAGAAAGAGAGAAACATCAATGCAAGAGACACATCGAGTGGCTGCCACCCACAGGACCCCAATCGGGGCTGGGGACAAACTGCAACCGAGGCACGTGCCCCTAGCGGGAACCAAACCTGGGACTCTCTGGTCCGCAGGCCAACGCTCTAACCACTGAGCAAAACCAGCCAGGGCAATATGTATATTTTTTTTATAATTTTACACCTTATTTCCCTCACACTGGTTTATGATCTGATATGCGATACCTAGTTGTCTGAGATGAGGAAATTATAAAAATCATGTACTCTTAATTTTCTATATATTATGTTAGTTCACAAAAATAATTAAAAAGATTTGATTTTAATATCTTTAAAAATATATGTATTTTTTGTTAATTGTGGTAAAATACAAAACATAAAATTTTTAAGACAGTTCAGTAATGTTGAGTATATTCACATTGTTGTGCAGTCATCTCTGGTGTTTTTTATTGCATAATACATTTTATTTATTTAAATAATTTTAAATTTACAGAAAAGTTACAAAGATAGTACAGAGAGTTCCTGTACCCCTTACCCATTTCCACTAACACTGCCATCTTATATAACTATGGTGTGTAGGTTTATCAAGACTAAGAAACCAATTTTAGTACATTTAAATTTTACCAGTTTTCCCACTAATGTCCTTCTTCTGTTCCAGGATCCAATCCAGGATACTACATTACTGCATTTAATTCACCCTGAATTTTAAAGTGACATTTCCCTCTTAAATCTCCTAGAAAAGGCATATGGAAGGAGCATTTCTCTTTGCTGTTCTCCTACATTTCAAGCACATTTACCTCTATGTAGCACCAGCGTATGGTATATATCTGCTACGATCTTACTGCTTCACTGCAAATAAAGCAGGCAAGTTTTAGTGGGAATAGCAAAACCTCCTATATTTTATTTTTTCTTGACTTGGTGGCTTGCTTGGTGAAAGGGTCTTAAAAGTATGACAGATATCTCTCAGCTGTGGATCCTATAACTTCTTTATCCTTTCTGACTTTTCTCTGCTCTTGCCATATCATAAAGATTAGTATACCGTCAGGGGATCCTTCCAGTTTCACAACGTGATATAAGTTATGGTTTTCCATGCTCCTGGTTAATGAGAATGTTCCTTTTTTATAGACGGGTCTGTCCGATGGAACAGTTTCAGCTTTGTCCGCCTTATTTCCCTGGGACTGATTGTTTTTCTCGTTTCTGCTCTTTCGTTGGGTCCTTTCCTAGCCTTGGTAAGCCTGTTATTTTTTATAAAGTAATACATGTTTTTTATTATTGTTGCTGCTGTTATTTAGAAAAAACAATAAATTTAAGAATATAAAATAGGCAAAACTAGTCTTTCTTACCCCTTTTCAATATGACTGTGCAAACATAGGGTAGGTATTCCTTTAGTCATTTTTGTGCACATTCATATATGTATGTGTATATATTTGTATGTTTAACTGTACATCATACACACAGTTGATTGATATTATTCATACATTTTGTATTTACTAGTTTGCCTACTTGCTAGAACTTATTTGCAACCCCAGAAATCAATACTTAAAACTTGTTCACAGTCCTTCACTGACATCATTCTAAAGTTCCTGGAACATTAGAGATGTTCAACAAGTATTTTCTTTTTTTCCTTTCCTCACCCTGAATTCAACTAATTTTAATTCCAGCTCAAACTGGAAAGCACTGCATTTTTTTTTTTTTTTTTTTGTAAAGTCTTCCCTGCTGTCACCTTCCCTTCAGTAGACTTGGATGAGCTGCAATCTTTCTCCTTTGTACCTCATAAATTCTTCCACTATTATACTTAAATTGGACTGATATTCAAAGTACTTTTGTGTATCTTGTCCTACTGGACAGATGAGGTTAGACAAAAGAGCTTCTGTGAACTGCTCGGGATCATACTGCTTATTTGAAGGAACAAGGACTGAAATTCAGACCTCACAACTTTTGACATACTATGCCAGACACATAGATTTCTTTTTGAATTTGGAAAAGATTAATCACTGTTTAATCTCTTTTCAACAGAACCAACTGCCTCAAGTCTTTTCCAGACTCTTCCCTTTCAAGCGGGGCCTCTGCCATGCATATTGGGCTCCAAACTTCTGGGCTTTATACAATACTTTGGACAAAGTGCTGTCTGTCATCGGTACGGTAGCAAGCTGTCTTACTTAGGCTCTGAATATTGAAAGGACTAACACACTGAGAAATGAAAAAACCTGCTGTGTTTTTAATGAGGTTGAACTGTTTGTTCTCCAGTCCTGCATTTCAGCTTTCAGAATGAACGGGGGAGTGGTTCTAGGGACTGAGGCTTCAGTGCAGTAAACAGACTGAGTGTCTTATAAAAGCTCTTTGTGGCAATGAGGTTGCTGACCCTTTCCTTGAGGGAAAAAATAAAATATATAAGACATTTTTAAAAGGTAATTTTTGCCTTAAGTAAAACATTTTTTCAGTAGTTAACCCTACTTTTAAACTTTAATATGGGAAGGAGCAGGACACAAGAATGTGTAAATTGTGATTCTGCTAAACCAATAAGGAGAATGATAGTTGTGCATTTTAGCATGAGATGAGAAGAAATGGAAAACCGAGGCTATGTTTCTATATTTGGATTATGATGAAAAATAATTTATACTTTGAGATGGTTCTACTGAAAATAAGTCACTTTGGAATAACTCAGTCTTTTTCTGTGAATACAGCCTAGCTCGATGGGAAGTGGCAGGATCAAGAGAAGGATATGCAAACTTCGGTAATGGGCCAGATAGTAAATATATTACAGACCACATAGGTGTTTTGTTTGTTCACTTGTTTACAACCTATAAAATGTAAAAATCATTCATAGCTTCAGGGTCTTGCAAAAACAGGCCACAAGCTGGATTTGGCCCTCGGGCTAGAGTTTACCAATTCCTAACTTGGAATCTGATGACTTGGTTGGACACCCACCTGCATAAATTGCTGACTGCATGGCACTGGGCAAGTCCTTGGCTTCCTCTAGTCTTGCCTTCATACTCTAATAAAGAGATAACAGTACTTTACCTGTTTCCATGAAGCATGTTGTGCGAAACAAATGCAGCAATAAAGAAATGCAGGAGCTTTGGAACCAGACGGAACTGTGATCATTTCTACCACCTACTAGTTGTGGCCTTGGACAAGTTACTCCATTTCTGTGTGCTTCAGGCGACTAAAAGTAATGGCTGCAAATCCCTTGGCCCATGATAGATGCTTAATGCATAGGGGCTGTTGTTACTGTTTTTGATATGTACTTGTAGGAAATCCTAATTTGGTACTATCCTTCACCCACTGTGAATCTAGTCTTGGTGTACATGGCATAATTAGAAAGTAATTTCTTAACATATTTCAAAAAGGCTTTAAACAACCAGTATGGGATGAAGTGCAAGGGCTACTAGCCTTGTCTGAGTCAGGAAACTGTGCTGAGTTTCTTTGTATATCTGTCTTAAAGATGTCTTACATGGAAAGTCTGTGGCAGATTAGGCATCTGTTTCAGGGAGATAGTTATTGGCTTTGAGAGAATCAATAGGCTGAAGGAAAAGGGAAGAAGTGAATGACTAGAAAATATTTTGGTAGTATATATCTTTCCCACAGTTCACTGATGTTCAGTGGCATTAGGCAGGTCTATGTAGGTGCCCACTGTCCCTGACTATACTATTAGCTTGTTTGAGATGGGGCTTGCATCATCATCCTCAGGCTTAGTTCATTTAATAAATATTTATCTTTTTGTTTTTTTAATATGATTTTATTAATTTTAGAGAGAGAAGGAGAGAGAGAAACATTGATGTGAGAGTGACATATTGATTGGTTGCCTTCTACACATCCCCTACTAGGGATCAAACCCTGAACTCAGGCATGTGCCCTGACCAGGAATCGTACCGGTGACCCTTTGGTGCGCTGGACAATGCCCAACCAACTGAGCCACACCTGCCAGGGCTAAGTATTTCTTGAACACCGATGTGTTGGAGGTAGGAATGAATTACTCATCATTCCTGCCTTTAATAAACCCCCAGTATAGTAGAGAAAATGAGTATGTAAACAGATAAAGTGCAGTGCAGACACTACATAAAGACATGTACAAGGTGTACCTGGCCCACAAGAAAGACAATGGTGTTTCTTGATTTAGGAGCTTTCCCAGATGAGTGAAGTGAATTAGAAGTTAACTTTGTAAAGTGAGTAAGCTACTCTAAGCAAAGGAAGTAGCTTGTACCAAGGGATGTAAGTGTTGAGAGTGGTGTGTCAGTTTATTGTGGCCAAGTCACATTTAAGAAAATGGAGGAGATAAGGCTGGAGAGGCAGGAAGGGGCTACATCATGGAAGACACAGTATGCCATGCTTAGGAATATGGACATTATCTTGCAGGCAGTGAAGGATTCAGAGCTGTAGTATGACGTGGTCAGACGTGTATTTGAGAAAGCTTACTTCATTTGACAGGTGGGAGCAGATTGCTGTTCCTGTTGCCTGCCAGCACGGTCCCCCTTTTGCACTGCACATATTTCCTGTCCCGATACAGACAGCTGCCTTACATGGTATAATCTCAAGACCAGCAGCATTTTAGGTAGAATAACACAGAATTGAGTTAATGAAATCTTAACTTTGAACTAGTTATAAAATTTTGTACCTTATTTTTTCTCTAGGAATTGAATGGAAAAGTAGGGTGTGTCATTGATCAAAACAAAATAAAATGTCTACTTACTATGTAGGTTTGAAGTTGAAACTTCTTGATCCCAACAAGATTCCTAAGGCATCAATGACAAGTGGTTTGGTTCAGCAGTTCCAACACATAGTCCTTCCCTCAGTGACTCCCTTGGCCACCCTCATCTGCACTCTGATTGCCATATTGGTAAGAATTCACGTGTGGTACTCATTTCTTGAGTTTTATCTGTGTTTCTCTTGTGTAGCTGGTTAAATTTTGACCTCCAGGTTTTTCACTGCAGCCGAAATTCCATGGCTGTACCCCTGCTGCAGATTGAGGCATGTCCTAGCAATTCTTAGAGTGTCTACACTGTAAGGAAGGACTACTAGTAAAGTCTCACTGACAGATTATCTCTGTGAGAGAGACTCTTAGAGCACCTGTTCTCCCTGGGATGAGGACAAAGAAAAGCCCACAGAGGAGGGGGCATGGGCCACATTGTGGGGAAAGAGGAAGACATTTGTAGTCAGGACATCCAGGTTTATGTTGTTTCATAAACTGACTGACCCCACATCCACAGTTGTCGACTGCATGAATATTGATGATGACAGTTAACAGTGGCTCTTTGAGCATCAGATGAGACTCTAATATGAGTCCAGTGCTGTTAGAGGCTTTAGTCATGTTGTTTTTATTTGTTAGTGATCATGATGCCTTCAGTTCCATGATGTAATTTTAGTAGAATTCAATAAAAATGACTCAAGCCTATATCTATAATTACACTCAGCTTTAACTTTGGTTTCTGAGTGATCAAGCTTACTGTCAAGACACTGACCCCATTTAATTACATGGCAGTACTGGAAGGTAATTCAGTTCTGTGGCCTACTTATTCACATGTTCTGAAGTAAAACTTTTTTTCTAATACCTCAGACTTGTAAGCTGCTTATGAAAGGCCATAGTTTTATTGTAAATTACACTCCAGCCCACAAAGCTGGGTGTTTTTTATCAATATGATAAAATCTAATGTATTATTAGCCCCAAAATATATATAAACTTTTGTAGTTTAAGCTGTAGGTTCAGTGACTACTAATTAACTAATTATGAAGCTGTAATAAGGGGTTATACTAGATATCTTAGAACTTAATTATGATTTCTTATTAATTTTGATGAATTATGTATCCAAATGCCTTTTTTTCTGAGTAGTTGTTTTTATATTAATTCTTGGTGGACTGTTCACTTGGTGATGAATTACCCTAGTTTAATAGAGAATAGTCTCAAGACCTGTTTTTCAGAGATTATGCAAATTGTATTCACCTGAACAATGTTTCTGTAATGCCTATTTTAAATTGTACTGAAGTTTTATCTTTACCTGTTGTTTCTAGCCTTCTATTTTCTGTCTTTGGTTTAAACCCCAAGGGCCCAGAGGCTTTCTCCGATGTCTGATCCTTTGTGCCTTGAGCTCCTTCATGTTTGGGTGGCACGTCCATGAGAAAGCCATACTCCTAGCAATTCTCCCAATGAGGTAAGCAGATCACTCAGTCAGTCAGCATTTCTGGAATATTCCACAGTGACACTATTGTTTTCTATTTGAACTGTCCCTTCTGGACATGTTCAGTGGGGTAGACAAAGGCAAAGATGAACAGGAACAGGTTTATACTAGGACTGGACAGAGTTGCTTCACTTGGGATCCTTGCAACCTGTGAAGGCCCCAAGGTATGCGAAATTGAGCATATTGTTCCTGCATATATTGGAGTAAGGGGTACTATAGTGATTAAGAACCATGACACCAGGCTGTTAGGTCTGGAAATTGAGTGGCAGCATAGTATGAAAAAAGCATGGGCTTTGGTGTCATCACATCTGTGAAAATAAGATCCACTGTTCCTTGTTAAGAGTTGTTAGTTAAAGTTAAAGATTGAGTCCATTATGCAATAATACCTAACATAAGTACAGTATTCAGATTTTTCAGAACTGTTATTTTGGGGTTTTCATTTTCTTTTTGCATTCTTTCTTTTGAACCTCACAACAACCTTTAAGATAATTAAGATAAATTAATTTCATCCCCTGTCTTAACATCTACAGAAACTGGGGCTCAGAGAGTTTAAATGATGTATTCAAAGTCACCCAGCTAGCAAGTAGCAGAGTAGGGCTTAAAGAATTAGAAATTTTGATGCTGAATCTTGTGCCATGCTAAAAAGGGATGTTAAATGCACTAGTGTCCATTTTATATATAATTGAAACCCAGTAGATAGATCGTAATAGAACTAAGCGTGTTTTTGTGGGGTTTTGTTTGTTTTTAAGTCCTGAGAGAAATCATTTAGCTCTGAAAGAACATTAAGCAAATTTGTCAGGCCAGTATATGGCTGGTCTGGGTTCATTTAGCAACTTGCAGTTTACAAATTTAAAAAATAGATCAAAATTTCTAATTCTTTAAAATTTTCACTGAACACCAGCAGGTGCAGGGTATTGTCCAAGAGAAGAGCTGTAGGGTTGGAAATTAAATTCCAAGTTCTGTTTCCTGGATACCCACCCTAGGAAGCTCCAGTTTCACAATATCCCTTTCTTGGGAGAAGGCAGTTACTCAAGGAAGCAAGATCCTTTTTTGAATATTCCCTGATTTAGTGTGATACATTCTTTGATCAATTGCTTGAAGTTTCCTATTAAAAAAATTAATATTAGTAATTGAATTGGACTTGTAGCAAAGATTAGTAAGTATGTTGTATTATGCTTAAGCCAGTGCTAGAAATGACAATAAATACAATTTATTCAAGCTATTTACAAGTATAAATGTTTTTTGTTGTTTTAAGGAATTATTGTGAGAATTTTTATTTTTAGCCTTCTGTCTGTGGGAAATGCAGGAGATGCTTCGATTTTTCTGATTCTGACCACAACAGGACATTATTCCCTCTTTCCTCTGCTCTTCACTGCACCAGGTAAACAGCTTCATTTTAGAGCATAGGTTTGATTGCCATGCCCTTTTCATCAGGGCCTAGAGATCAATGCCACCTGATTTAAACAACATGGAAATCTCTTAGAAGGAGAGAGCTCATCCGTTCTCTTAACTAAAACCTGCAATTTGTCCCTAGTTCTCAGTACCATTAGATGTCACAAAAATGTACAGTTACGCTCAAAAAACATTAGTGGCATTATATAGTTGTGCCAGTGTGTTTATGTTGCCTAAGTTTCATAAACCTTTCTCTTATCAACTAAATTATCATCTGGTTTTTTTTTCTTCTTTTAACAGAATTTCCCATTAAAATCTTACTCATGTTATTGTTTACCATCTACAGTATCTCCTCATTGAAGACTCTATTCAGGTAATTAAAGAAAGTATATTTAAAATTATATTTACTCCTGTTAAGTGTTTGCTTTTAAATGTGCAATAAGCCTTTTATTTTTTTATTTTATTTTTATTTTTTTATCCTCACCCAAGGACATTTTTGCATATATCTTCAGATAGAGCAGGAAGGGGAGAGGGAGGAAGAGAGAGAAACATCAATGTGAGAGAGAGACATCGAGTGGTTGCCACCCACACAACCACAACCGGGGCTGGGGAAAACTGCAGCCAAGGTACGTGCCCTTTGCGGGAACCAAACCCGGACTCTCCCGTCTGCGGGCCGATGCTCTAACTGCTGAGCCTCACTGGCCAGGGCTGTAATCTGTATAATTTTTAAAAGCTTGCTTATAGTTCATATCTGACTGTGTTCATAAACTTCATATATTTAATTATATTAAAGCTTATTTAACCCTGGCCAGTTTGGCTCAGCGGTTACAGCATCAGCCTGCGGACCAACGGGTTGCAGGATAGATTCCCAGTCAAGGGTATGTACCTTGGGTGCAGGTTCAATCCCCAGCCCTGGTCAGGGTTGTATGGGAGGTAGCCAATTGATGTCTCTCTCTCTCACTCTCTTTTCCTTTCTCATTCTCCCTCCCTTGCTCTCCCTCTCCCTCCCTATCTCCCACTCTATCTAAAAACCAATGGAGCCCTGGCTGGTTTGGCTCAGCAGTTAGAGTGGCGGCCTGTGGTCCAGAGAGAGCCAGGTTCGGTTCCCATAAGGGAACGTACCTCGGTTGCAGTTTGTCCCCGGCCCTGGTTGGTCGTGCAGGTGGCAGCCATTCAATGTGTCCCTTTCACATCGATGTTTCTCTCTCTCTCTGCCTCTCTCTCTCTTCCTCTCTCTCCCTCCCACTCTGTCTGAACAGAAATGGAAAAATGTCCTCAGGTGAGGATAAATACATAAATAAAATAAATAAAAACCAATGGAAAAATATCCTCAGGTGAGGACTAACCAAAAAAATAAAAATTTATTTATAACTATGTGACTCAGCAATTCCACTCTTAGATACATACCCAAAAGAATTGCAAACAGGTCCTCAAACAGATATTTGCACACCAGTGTTCATTACAGCTTTGGTCACAGTAGCCAAAATGTCAAAACAACCCATGTCTAGCAACAAATGAATAGATAAACAAAATGGTGTGTGTGTGTGTGTATTATTCAGCCAGAAAGAGGAATTAAGTTGTGATATGTGCTACAATATGGATGAACCTTGAAAACTTAGGTTAAGCCAGACACAAAAGGAAAAATATCCTACGATTCCACTTATATGAAATATCTAGAATCGGCAAATTCATAGAGACAGAAAGTAGATTAGTGGTTATGGGAACAGGGGTGAGGGAAGGGGAAGTCGCTGCTTAATGTTTCCAGAGATCCCGTTGGGGTGATGAAAATGTTTCAAAAGTGGATAGTGGTAATGGTTGTACAACGTTGTCAATATACTCAATGCTATTGAATTGTATACTTAAAATGGTAAAAATAGAATAGCAAATTTTGTTATTTTACCACACAAAAAATTGTATATTGTTTGTCATATTCGTATTCTAATATCACAGCATCCAGCCCTTTCGTCTTCCAAATGCGTAGCTAATTCTCTCTCAGAGCTTCAGCTAAGTGACAGCCTAGGTAGATGATAATTAGGTACATCGGGGTTGTTGAGATAATGTAATGGCATATTGTTATCATTTTTTTGAGATGTGAAATTGAATGCACTCTTTTGACTGGCTTTGGGTGTACTTTACATCAAGACAGTACAAACAGCACTTTAGCTGAGAAATGTTTGCAAAACCAGAATGACTCATCTAAATCAAACCTTTCTCTCCTTTTTTTTGTCAGGAAAGAAAAACCTCTTTTTAATTGGATGGAAACTTTCTACCTCCTTGGCCTGGGGCCTCTGGAAGTCTTCTGTGAATTTGTATTCCATTTCACCTCCTGGAAGCTGAAGTACTCCTTTCTCCCTTTGTTACTGACCTCAGCGTATTGTGCAGTGGGCATCACATATGCTTGGTTCAAACTGTATGTTTCAGTATTGACTGACCCTCCTGCTGGCAAGACAAAGAAGCAATAAATAAAGGAACTGCTTGGATGTATTCCAAGCAATTATTTCATGGGAAATTAATCAGAACTTGAAGAAAGTTGCTGGTGGCATGAACCATTCAGTAGATCTGTTTGACAACCATTCTTCCAGACTTGGCCTTGCCCAGCCTAGCAACCTGGTTGTCACCATGGTGAGAAGCCACTTGTCCTCCATAAGCAGTGAAACACATCTGAAACACTTCTTGCCCTCCCCTGTTAAAATTGTCAGGTCATTCAGACTGCTGTGTTTGCTCCAGACAAGCAGGGAGTCTGATCAACACCATGATTAGTTGTACCCTGTGATAATCATTGTCAGGCTATAAAACACAATTAGAATCGTGTACTAAAGGAGATATAAATAAAATACCATTTTGTATTTCTCCACGAAAATTTTTTGGATCAGTACCAGCTTCTACATCTTCCTGTTGGCATACACACAAGCAGATGGTGTATTGTCTCCATTCTGCACACCTTGTTTCAGGAGATTATCTTTTTTCCATTGAAATTATACAGTGACCATTCTCACAAAGCCAGGGGGGATATTTAATGAATGGTTTGGCCTGTTAGCAGAGATTATAAACCACATCTACTCTCATATTAAGTTAAGGATATCTTGGACAGTTTATTCTAACAGCAAGCACTGCAATTTTTATAAGACTGCCATTTCTCAAACTTTCCTTACGTGAGCAAACGTAAGTGATTTTAACAGCCTGGTCTTGTCCTCACCCTTCCTTAAGCACACTTCTTACACACTTTTTATCCAGGACCCCAGTTTGCCTAATATCTGCTGCATATTCAGATTCAGCCAACATTTATCTAGCTGACACCTGGAGCTTTGACACATTTTTATTTATCCATTATTCCCTATTGGAAGATGAGAGAGACTCCAAGGTTACAGGCATCCTGGGATGCTAATCCAGCTCTTCCATATCTTAAATTCACTCCATTTCCCCAGACTTCTTTTGAGTCTCATTGCATAGATAAAGATGGGGATTTTGCCAAAGAGTGGGTGGCTAGCCCCTCAAGCCTATTTTCCTCACCACAGTGCCTCTTGCTCCCTGTGTTCCAGCTGTCCTGACAACTTAAAATGCCCAGTTTTATACCTCTGCTTTCTTTTATTCATGCCACTTACTCTCTTTCCTCTTTGCTGGTTTTTCTACCCTGTCATCTGATTGTCCATACTTCAAGTTTCAACTTCTACCATATCTGTGAATATAACGGTAGTACAGTGAAGCGATTAAGAATTGGGGCTCTGCACGTACCTCGGCTGCAGTTTGTCCCCGGCCATGGTTGGGTCATGTGGGTGGCAGCCACTTGATGTGTCCCTTTCATGTCAATGTTTCTTTCTCTCCACTCTCCCACTCTATCTGAACAAAAAATGAAAAAATGTCTTCGGGTGAGGATAAAAAAGATTTTTTTTTAAGAATTGGGGCTCTGGAGTTAAACAGCCTGATTTTAAATCCTACTTCCATGATTTTTAAAAATCTGTACCCAAGTTATTTAGTCATCCTTTGCATCAATGTCCTCATTTTTTTAAAAATAATTCAGTTTTATAGAATTCTTTCCTAGTTATATTTCACATGAGTAACTGAATTAAGTCACATGACAATTAAAAAATATATATAGGTACTTCTTAAGTTAATGATTATCATGTATAGTAACTTTTATTCCATAATTCATTTTCATTTCACTTTAGCAAAAAATGTACATAAACTTTACAAATGTCCCAAATCAACTTGAAGTAAGAATTTCCAGTTATTGTCTGATAAATATTTTGGTGTCAAAAAATCTACTTACAAATAGTGGGAAAGGAGTGACTACTATAATTAACATTTATCAACATAATTAATAAAAAGCACTACATAGTATCCTATAAAACTGGTCACTCCTTTTAAGAGAGAGAGAGGGGACACAAAAGTTAAAAGCAAAAGTACAACTAGAAAGAAACTTTCTAGTTTTATGCCGATTACAAAGGCCTCAAATAAAAACATAGCTTTAGCCCTGGCCGGTTTGGCTCAGCGGTTAGAGCGTCCGCCTGCGGTCCAGAGAGACCCGGGTTCGGTTCCCGCTAAGGGCATGTACCTCGGTTGCAGTTTGTCCCCAGCCTGGTTGGGTCGTGCGGGTGGCAGCCACTTGATGTGTCCCTTTCACATCGATGTTTCCCTCTCTCTCTTCCTCTCTCTCCCTCCCACTCTGTCTGTACAAAAAATGGAAAAATGTCCTCGAATGAGGATTAAAAAAAAAAAAACATAGCTTTAATCAACCCATTTTGCCAATTTGGCAAATGACACTAAGACCGAGGTAATGCATGGTGCTGCACATGGCTACTAACATAACTGACACTTTCTGATAACATGATTTTTTTCTTTTCCTCACCTGAGGACATTTTTCCAGTTTTTGTTCAGCTAGAGTGGGAGGAACAGAGAGGAAGAGAGAGAGAGAGAAACATCAATGTGAAAGGGACACATCAAGTGGCTGCCTACCACATGACCCAACCAGGGCCGGGGACAAACCGCAACCGAGGTACGTGCCCTTAGTGGGAACCAAACCCAGGTCTCTCTGGACCACAGGCTGATACTCTAATCGCTGAGCCAAACCAGTCAGGGCTGATAACATGGTTTTTGTTTACAAATTTGTTATCAGGCTTAAACTGTGACAGTTCCCATCTATAATCTACTTACTCTCTGATATTAGTTCTGAAATTAATGCAGAGCAATTCAACTTAAACGTGGTACTTTAATAGCACTAGATGCTACTTTGTTTGATTTAAAATCCTGGTGTATTTATCATTTAAAATTCAGGAATGATGTGCTCAGACAAATCACATCTGTGGAAGCTACCTTGTCTTTTTCTTAGATTCACATAATGAAAACCACAGGAATGTCATAAAAAGTATCTATAAAATAAAAATTACACATCTTGATTATTTTTTAAATTACTAATTGCCTGCAAAACTAACTCAGCATAATTTCAAAACAATTAGAAGGTAAATAAGGTTGCTTCTGAAGGCCATAGCTTTGGTGACAACTTAGAACCAAACTTGAGACCTGCAGTTGGTCCAGACCTAAATAGTATGCTCATGCCTGATGCTCCCATTTATTTGCAGGACTTTATGGCTACAGAATATTCTTCACTCATTGTACACGTGACAGGCACCTGTATATCTTCACCTGTCACGTGAAGAAATAGAAGGAAAATACAATAATTTTTCTTCTATTTCTTTGCCTAGTTCACCTTCTGGCAGCTTAAGATCCTCATGAACTTCACCAGTTTCTGACAGCAGGGAAAGGTAACCATTCCAAATGCATATCAGTTGATAATCATTTCTCTTCATATTTGGAACATCCATGTTGTGAGTGGGAGGGCAAATATCTTCATATTTTTTGCCTGTGAAAAGATCAATTCCAACAAGGTGAACCTTGGCATGGCCGTGCTTTTCAGTTTTGGAAGTTGACAGCTCTACTATTTTGCATGGACGTCCCTTGAGCACCACGAAGCCGTTTTTGCGCAGAGCTGAGCACTGCATAGGGTATGTGCTGGAAGCCCCAGCATCTCCAGTTGTGAAATCAATTTCATCGCCATGGGTGGGGTGGGGAGAAGGTACCTTTTCTGAGTTAACTTTCAGCAAAGAAAGAGTGCCTTTCTCCTGCGCACCCACGCAGTTCCCCTCCTCAATGTCCTCTTTTTTTAAATGATCACAAAAAATTTAGAACCCTTGCTGACACATATTATATGTTCAATAAATTTCTGTTTTTTTAATCCTCACCCAAAGACATGCTTATTGATTTCAGAGAAAGAGGAACAGAAGAGAGAGAGAGAGAGAGAGAAAAACATCGATGCGTTTTTGCATCGATGCAAAACTTCTCATAAGCACTCCAACCAGGGACCAAACCTGAAACCTAGGTATGTGCCCTGACTGGGAATCAAACCCACAACCCTTCACTGTGCAGGATGACATTCCAACCAACTGAGCCACACCAGCCAGGGTGATATCTTCTTTTTTTTCTTTAATTTTTTTTTCCTTATTGATTTTAGAGAGAGGAAGAGGAAGAGAGAGAGCTAGAAACATAGTTGAGAGGGAACATTGATTGGCCACCTCCTGCATGCCCCCCACTGGGGATATGGCCCACAGCCTGGACATGTGCCCTGACTGGGATTCGAACCAGCGACCTCTTCATGGGTTGATGCTCAACCACTGAGCCTCACCGGCTGGGCTATATCTTCATGTTTCTATGAGTCCACCTCTCCCTCTCCCCTGCCCCTCCACCAGAAATGAGTACCCCCATCATGCGCTTCCATGCCAGGGGTCTACTACCATAAACATCTGTAATGCTTGACTGTCTGTTTTCCCCAGGAGATAACAGTTTGAGAACAGAATGCACACTTGTTTTGATAGCTCCAGTTTTTGGCACAGTTGAATAAATGAAACACACCACACAGGCCATGATTAAAATCTAAATGTTTACTAGTACCAGCATTAACACAAGGGGCCCAGTGTAGTTCCTCACATCTTTGCCAATTGGTGTGCAGGCCAAAAAATAGAAAATAAGAAGATGAATTTGGAAATATCTCAACAAGGCTTTGCAGGTTGTTACTGTGAATGTGATGTGATGTCAGAACTGGAAGAGCTCACTTGGTACCGAGATTTCCAGAATATTCTGCAGAGTTCTGGAGGTTCTTGAGAGTTGCCTCAGAAGCTCTGGGCCCTGTCCTGTCTTCTAGCCTATTTCATATATTAGGCTTCGTGTAAGTTTTGTTTGACTTACGAGTTCAAAGTCCAAATATAGTCTAAAGCAATTCAACCCCTTGTGTTTCTAAGAGAGCAATGGCTCCAGAGACTGCGGAATAGCTTGTTGGTGCCACCGCAGACTGAAACCCAGACAGACCTATGGCTCAGGACTGTCCCAAGCACTATACTTTGTATCCATGTATTTAAACTTCACAGAGATGTGGGTGGTTTTCAACAACAAATCGCTAGGGTTCAGCAATTACTAAACAAACTGGTGTTATTTCAAACTGTTTTGAAATCTAGAAGTAAGCAAAGTCAAGAAGAACAAGCCAAGGTGACTATCAAAATTTAAACAACTAATTTTTTACCTACTATGTAATTTATATACAATGTACCACAATCTCACAAGATAAAAGAAGAGTAGGAGGGACTTGGTATTCTTGGTCACCATCTTTCCCCAGGCAGAGGCAGAGAGCCCGAACTGGAAGAGAAATACAGGGAAGATGGGCTGTCTTTCCAGCCCAGCACTGGTATAGTTTTTTGTTTTGTTTCTTGTTTTGTTTCTTTTTTTTTTTTTAGTTTTCTTTATTGACTTTAGAGAGTGAGGAAGGGAGAGGGAGAGAGAGATAGAAACATCGATGAGAGAGAACTGGTATAGTTTTCCTTGTTAATGATTTTCAGCTGGAAACTACTCTGTGACAGAAGCACTCCCTACGAATTGCTCCCTGTGTACAGTCCATGCGGCTTCTATTTGCAGTTAGTGGGAGAAAAAGACATGACCTTTGGAAAAGGTGTTGTGCTCTTTAGTAGTTTGATTAAACTACATTTCCAGCATGATTGTGGTAAAAAAAACAAACAACAAAAAAAAACGTTTTACCCTTCTGTCCTCTCTTTTGTGCTCCAAAGAAGTGGACTACTGTGCTAATTTAGATGATATTATAAACCTCAAAAACTTGAATCAATATAGCCATTAGTTTCTCACAATAAAGCTCCATATTCAGCATCCCCATTTTATAGAAAGGTCAATAAATGTACTAATTTGTTTTCAGTCTTGGGCGTCAGAAATAAGAACCATATACTTGTATATATAAAACAACCATGAAAAGGACAGTACTCACAGTATACTTGGCACAGAATCCTAGAATTTTAGAAAGGCTGTCAGAAAAACCCTCAGGGGAGATTTATTCTTTTTTTTTTTTAATCCTCACCCGAGGACATTTTTCCATTTTTTGTACAGATAGAGTGGGAGGGAGAGAGAGGAAGAGACAGAGAGAGAGAAACATCGACGTGGAGGGACACATCGAGTGGCTGCCACCGCACGACCAACCAGGGCCGGGGACAAACTGCAACCTAAGTACGTGCCCTTAGTGGGAACCGAACCCGGGTCTCTCCGGACCGCAGGCCGATGCTCTAACCGCTGAGCCAAACCAGCCAGGGCGAGATTTATTCTTTATAGTTTTCCTGGCAGAGAACAGATACAGCTGGTAGGCACCTCATAATACAGCACGCACACCCCAATATGTGCAGCTTTTTCTTAGGGCATTTAATACTGAATTAATATTTTACTTCCTCTGACTTTTTTACCAGTTGGTCTCTGGAGCAATACATAATGAGGTTCTTCTCCCATGTATAAGACAGCCCATCAAGTGATACATAAAGGGAAAACCCCATATTGTGTTCCTTTCTGTGGAGTACCTACTGTGTGCCAAGTACGGCACTAGGCATTACTTCTTAGTTTTTTCTAAAACTTTGAAAATCAAATTCATTCATTATTGCTTTAAAAAAAAAAACACCTCACTGATTCCTGTTGAGTGTTACCCATTGTGTGAGGTGCTAGAGATTAAAAGGTAAACAAAAACAAAAAAAGATTCCTGCCATCAAGGAATTCATGTTCTAGCTCTAGTGGCTAGAGGGTGGTAAAAATCAGGAAGAGTGGTATAGGATGAAGTTATGCAGGGTCTTTTAGGCTATTGTCTAAGGAATTGAATTTTAAGACAAATAGGAACAAAGAGTTTAAAATTTTCTGAGTTACATTTTCACATACATGGAGCAAAATTCAAAAGGTCCCCAGCCACCCAGTTAGTTCCCTTACCAAGAGGCAACCATTGCTATTAATAACTTGTGTATCATGCCAGAGATTCCAGAGATATTCTATGCATAGACAAATGTTCCTACACACAAATGATACATACTGTTATGACCTTACTTTTTTATCTTAGTAAATTTTGGAGTTTATTCTGTCACTGGTACATATAAAATTACACCATTCTTTTAACAGCTGCATAGTATCTGTATTAGTTATCTATTGTTGTGTAACAAACCCAGTGGCTGAAAACAACACATTTATTATCTCACAATTTCTGGAGGTCAGGAGGCCAAAGCACGGCTTATCTGGGTCCTCAGCTTCAAGGGTCTCTCATAGGCTGTAATCAAGGTGTCACCTGGAGCTGTGTTCTCATCTCAAGGTTCTACTGGGGAAGGATGTATTTTCACACTTATATGATGGTTGGCAGAATTTGATTCTTTATGGGTTGTAGGTCTGAGGTCCTCGGTTTCTTGCTGACTGTTGGATATAGATCACCCTAAACCCCTTGTCTTGGGGGCCTCTCCATGGAATAACTCACAACATAGAAGCTGGCTTCATCAAAGTCAGCAAGGGAGAGAGCTGGCTAGCAAGACAGATTTATTATCTTATGTAATGTATTCATGGAAGTCACATCCTGTCACCTCTGCCACAATTTATAGATTAGAAGGAAGTCACATGTCCCACCAAGCTGAAGGGAAAGGGATTACTCTAGGCATGAGTACTGGTAGACAGAGATAATTGGGGGCCTTCTCAGAGTCTGTCTATTATAAATAACATCCATGTATAGATAGACCACAATTTATTTAACAAGTTTCCTCTTAATGGACATTTAGATTTTTCCAGTATGTTTGCCAGTATGAATACGGCAATGAATGTCAATATTTCATTCTATACACGTGCTAGGATTGCACATGTTGTAGGCTTAAATTTCTAGAGTGGAATTTCGAAGTTGGAGGCTATGTGCATTTATAATTTTGGTAGATGTTACCAAATTGTTCATAGAAGTTGTGCCAGTTTATGTTCCCCAGGCAAGGTATGATGCCTGTTTCCCCACAAACTTGCAATCTAGTGTGTCATTTGTATTTTAGATCTTTGCTAATCAGATCTCAGAGTAATTTTCATCTGCATTTCTCTTATGAGAGATATTAGAGTCTTTTCCTATGTTTAAGAGCCGTTTGTACTTTCTCTTCTGAAAACTGTGTTTATGTTCTTTGCCACTTTTTCTATTAAATATCTTATCTACTTGGAGGTTGAAATATATTTTTAAAATCACCCTACTTACTCTGTGGAGAATATCCTGGGTGCAAAACGATGGAGTTTGGAAGAAGAGCGGTGGCAGTGTGATGGAGAAACAGATGGGTTTGGAATTGGAATTGACAGCAATTGGAAATGAATTAGACATAGGGCTTGAGGGTAAGCAAAGAATCATAGTTGATGCCTGTATTTCAGGTGTTGCATTTACTGATGTGGGAAAATGCAGGAGATGCAAGTAGAAGACAGAAGGATGGTATCAAGAGCTTTGTTTTGGAAACTGTAAATTTTTCAAAAGAAAATTTAGGACCTTGCTTTGGAAAGATATTTTTTTAAGACACAAAACAAACCATAAAGAAAAAGATTAGACTGATAAATTTTACTACATCAGAACTTTAACCTCTGTGTAATAGAGGTCTTATAAAGTTAAAAGACCAAGAGATTGGGGGAAGTATTTTGTAACATATATAAGAGACAAAAGATTTATATTACCTCACATAAGAAATTCCTGCCCTGGCCGGTTTGGCTCAGCGGTTAGAGCATCGGCCTGCAGTCCGGAGAGACCCGGGTTCGGTTCCCGCTAAGGGCACGTACCTTGGTTGCAGTTTGTCCCCG